AAGCCAAACGATAATCTACCATTCAGAAAAAGGGTAAACAAAGTTCTCAAATGAATAATCCGACATGACTAATCTTCTTCCTCTCCTTCATTCTCAGCAATGTTGAAGTACCTCAGTTCATAAACGCTTCTATCTTTGTTAGAAGCAATCACTCGGAGCCAGTCACGAACGTTGTGCTTCTTCAAATACTTCTTAGTTAAGTACTTGAGGTAACTGGAATCAGTTGAAATGTTAAAAACACACCATTTTAAAAAATATACATGTTAAAAAATATCCTCTCCAAAACACTGAGTCCTGAAGTGGACAATAGATAAGCGCAAACTCACATGTGATGTATGTGGTGAACAATATTACAAATGAGTCCAAACCCTAATTCGAGAAAATATAAGAGAGTAAAAAGAAAAAACAAAAAAAAGTTACCGTTTAGAGAAGTTGCTGTCAGAAGTAACAATGATTTTGGTCTTCTCGCGTGCAACGGCGACGGTGTCACCGAGAGCACCGGCCTTGCCAGAAACCTTAATCCTCTCTTGAAGGAACTTCTCGAGAGAAGCAATATCCATGATCTTGTCCTCCACTGGCTTCGCACAGTCAATGGTGAATGTCACCCCCTTCTTCTTGCCCTTCGAAGCAGTTACACCTCCCCGACTCATTCTTTTCACTTTCTACTGCGAAACTCTGAATTCAAAAACCCAAAAACACAAAGAAGAATCGCTTATTAGCTTCGGTGGTTCCTACAAAACTAACAGCTCAAACGAAATTAATTCTTTCTCGTAAGAAATTGCAGATAACGGAGAACAGAGAGAGAGAAAGGGAGAGAATTACCTTAAGCTACACCGAAATAGCCCAACAGTGCGAAGAAGTGACGGCGTTGAAGTGAGATCGATAATTAGGGTTTGGATTTGGCTCTTGTTTTATATACTGGACTAGATGAAATGCACGTTTGATGAAATGCACGTTTATTGGGTAACGAGTGTTTCGTCTTACACCTTCTTCCAATTCAAAAATTCCATTTTTAACCTTTTTAATATATACCTCCAACCCTTTTAAAAGTTTTATTTTTAATTTTAATAAATATATTTTTATTTTCATCTCTTTTCTATTAAAGATACTTTAATAAATATCGTTTTATTTTATTCTTTTTCTTATTAAAGACATTCTACACCACCTTCACAGTAATATAATTTAATTTAAAATTTAAATATTATTTAATATAATTTTATATTTTAATAATTATTAAAATATGATTTATATTATAATAATAGTAATATTAAAAATATAAAAATAAAAATAGTATAAAATTTGATTTAATATTATAAGGGCCTGAAAAATATATGGCTTTTGAGCCTTATGTTGGGGTAAACAGACCCATAAAACTAAGAACACCATGACCTTAGAAGGGGTTTTTCCCAATCTGAGTTCATTAGCCAACTTCTCCTTCTCTCTCTAAACTCTGTCTTCTTCTTCTTGCTCTGCCTTCTCTCTATCCATTCATAAATTTCAACAGTTGCATTGTCAAATAGGTGGTATCCTTTCGTTCACGGAGTTGAGAGCTTTCCATCCATCCGATTAGTTTTCGTTCTGGATGGGTAAGTCAGTTTCTCCATCTCTCTCCTAGGGCATGCAACTTTACTGGTTGCATGCAGCTGGTAGTCTTCCTCTTTTAATTCTCTGCCTACTATAGCTCTAAGAGTTGTTTCTGTCTCCATTGTTAGTGGATTGTAGGGTGTTATTGTGTGCTGGCTGTGTAAGGCACTGTTGGGGTTTTGCTACTATTCTGAGTAGTACTGTGCTTGTAACCACCAAGGTAAAGGGAGCTAGTTGTTTGTTTTAAATCTGTTTTATAAAGGTGTATGCATGTTGAATGTTGAACTGGTATGCTGTTTAGAGTGGTATGTTTCGTTTTTGAGTATGTTGCATTATATGTGTTGATATATGAAAACTATGAACTGTGCTGTGATGTTATGAATTGAGTGGATGAGTTTAATTTACTGTGATTGATCAGGTTGGGAGTGATTCGGGGTGTGAAGTCTGTTACAACATTGTTTAGAAAGAAAGCATAGTGAATTGGTAGTGGTTTAAGTTATTTTGGAGGAAGTGGGATAGGGAATTTAAGGGTTATGGGTCTAGGGTTCTTGTAGTCTGTTGGGACAATATAGGGAGGTTAATTGTGACTTGTTAGGGTCATCAAACTGGTCAAAACAGGTGAAAAGGGGTTGAATTGAAATTGGGTCCTTAAATTGTAGGAATTGATGTTTTAAAATATACAACTTGATCTTAATCACTTTAGATTAGTAATGGGAAGGGTTAAGATCATCTAGGCAGGTGTAATTGAGCTTAATACACAAATTGGAGGTCTTAGAAGTTGGCCAAGAGGCCTATAAATGGTAAGGGCTGGTGTGAGTGTGTGATTCTGCAGAATTTGTGTTTAATTTGAAAGGCGAGTGGGGCGCATGGCGAGAGTTTTAGGGGGTTGGTTTATGTTTGGGTTCTCGCATAGCGACCTGGGTGCGTTATGCGAGGGACCCAAAGTCTGACACTTATTCAGACTTAATTCGCAAGGCGAGCTGGGTAGGTGCGCTACGCGAATAGCGCCAGTTTCGCCTCGCGAGGGTGGTGTGCTATGCGAAACGTTCAGGGTTTTACTCTCTACTTTCCCTTTTATATTGTTTCACTTAGATTTGAATGTTGTATGGTGTGTGAAGTATGTGTTGGAGCAAATTATATTGTATGATGGGATTCAAACATGTTGTATATTGTTAAAGTGGAAATGTGTGTGATTCAATGGTATGATTGGTGATTCAAAGTATGTGGTTTTAAAAGTATGGTTGATGGACGTAATTCCATGATCTTCAAGGAGAAGATCCATGGTGGTGCCCTTAGTTGTTTAGAATGAAAGTAGGAGCTCAGTCTTGGGGGTCATCCTGAAACTCCAATGGTCTTTCTTCTCACGTAGAGAGGATTGAACCATGTGGTGAGGAGTAGCAGGAGGTCTTAGTCTTGGGGCCTTCCAGTATGCCTCAAGGCCCGGAACAGGCTAACCTCGTGAGTGTGGTAGGGTGGGGGAACCACTAGTAAAAAATGACGTTTTTAACTCGTACAATATGACTCGGTTTTTACTGAACAGAAGCATATCAAAACGCGGTGGCAGTCTCGTAATTTTAAAAACATTATATGCCTCGGTTGTTAAGCAACCGGTGTCTAAAAATAATACTGGTTCGGTTATCAGAGTGAACCGAGGCATAACCCTCACGTAGCAAAGGTACGGCCTCGGTTGGCATGGACCCGAGGCATATTGGGCTTTAAATCGGCCTCGGTTGGCATGGACCCGAGGCATATTGAGCTTTAAATCGAGAAAAGCCTGATCATTTCCCCAAAGCACCTCTCCTCTTCTCTGCCTCTTCTCCGCCTCGCGATATTCTCCTCCTGCGATGTGCGATGTGCGACGACGGTGGACGCGACGACAACAAGGACGTAACAGCGAGGACGCAGCGGCGGCAAGGACGCAGCGGCGGCAAGGACGCAGCGGCAACGAGGACGCGACGACGAGAACGCAATGGCGACGAGGACGCAGCGGTGACGGAGGGCAGATCTGGGCGGATGGAAGGGCGGAGGGCAGATCTGGGCACATGGAGGGGCNCAAGTCATCTAAAAAAGGTCATATAAATAACGAATTTAACAAATTATCATAAGGTTTAGTCTAATCCTTATCTTTCAAGAAGGAATTTAGTAATTTATTTTATGCAAAATTTTATTTCCTTCTTACATTTCTGTTTTCCAATTATTAAAAATTTCAATTCCATCTCGCTTTATTTTTAAATAGTAAAAATTTTCTGGAACAATTCCACCACTTCAGCATCCTCTTCAGCACACTTCAATTAAATTCATTAACCTCAAACTCCTGAGAGCATGAGAAGATGGAGATAATAAAGAAAATAGAAGCAGTAAATTAAGATGAAACACTGTATAAAAAAGATTGGGAGGTTTAATCTTTTAAGGTGTTTGACTATGGTGATTAGAACTGATTGTTCTATTTATGGTTTCAGCATATTCATATTTATCATGTTTGGGGTGCCTTAAAATCATGTTGAATACCTTAGAGTCAATGTATTAATTGTAACTTTTTTACCACACAAGTTTTCTTCAAATATCAAATAACCATCATCAACACAATATTACATTATTCTGTTAACAATTAAACGACAGAGTATGGAACAGATATAAGTAATTAAATGACGAGCATAGAAGAAATCTTCAACCCTGGCAATTCACATATATGAGAACACAAAAGCATGATAAAAAATGGAATTTTAGATATAGAACCCAAGTTTCGGCAGTGCAAAGATTAAACAAAATTAATTGTAAAAAAAAAAATACAAAACATAGCAATGCTTGGTGACCATTATGAATTATATCTCATAATATGCTAACAACCTAGTAATTCGCTATCAACCTATAATAAACTTCAATTAGATACAACTTAAGCTCAATATTATTACTTCTTGGTATGGTTTTAAATTATCCATTCAAGCATCAGTATATTCTTTATGCAAATGCACTCCGGGCTATGAAATTTGTGATATCCTGTTCGAAGGAATGAATTTTCCTTTCTCCACATCAGAAGAATTGTAATGTAAAAAAATATTCAGATTGGTATGATTGACTTTCACAGTTGAAGACTTGTTTATCAAGAAATAATTATACCTAGACCCCATATACTAGTTTTATGTATCATTAATTTTTTTAATCCAATCAAGAAGATTTATTTCAATTGGTTGAAAACATCTGATATAGGAGTGTGACTCCTTTGAAGAAAAAGGAATTTTTCATCCCCTTCCCCTCTCTATTTCTAGTCCTAACAAGTACAATGCCAAATTTAAGTCAATAAGCAAACCAAATTCTATATTGCTTATCCAGAAGCAAGTAACCGATGCTCTGATAAAACATTTTTCAATTGGAAGACATAAGAACAAATAATAAGGGACTGGGTATGGGCTTTAGGATGATCTGAATATTAGTTTAGTAACACATAGCAACTGTATCAAAGGAAAAAAATATAATGTGAACTCTATTCCGAATCACAACTCTCAAATAAACAAAACTGTTAAATTGCAACTGATGTAAACAGAGCTCAAGCCAAACGATAATCTACCATTCAGAAAAAGGGTAAACAAAGTTCTCAAATGAATAATCCGACATGACTAATCTTCTTCCTCTCCTTCATTCTCAGCAATGTTGAAGTACCTCAGTTCATAAACGCTTCTATCTTTGTTAGAAGCAATCACTCGGAGCCAGTCACGAACGTTGTGCTTCTTCAAATACTTCTTAGTTAAGTACTTGAGGTAACTGGAATCAGTTGAAATGTTAAAAACACACCATTTTAAAAAATATACATGTTAAAAAATATCCTCTCCAAAACACTGAGTCCTGAAGTGGACAATAGATAAGCGCAAACTCACATGTGATGTATGTGGTGAACAATATTACAAATGAGTCCAAACCCTAATTCGAGAAAATATAAGAGAGTAAAAAGAAAAAACAAAAGAAAGTTACCGTTTAGAGAAGTTGCTGTCAGAAGTAACAATGATTTTGGTCTTCTCGCGTGCAACGGCGACGGTGTCACCGAGAGCACCGGCCTTGCCAGAAACCTTAATCCTCTCTTGAAGGAACTTCTCGAGAGAAGCAATATCCATGATCTTGTCCTCCACTGGCTTCGCACAGTCAATGGTGAATGTCACCCCCTTCTTCTTGCCCTTCGAAGCAGTTACACCTCCCCGACTCATTCTTTTCACTTTCTACTGCGAAACTCTGAATTCAAAAACCCAAAAACACAAAGAAGAATCGCTTATTAGCTTCGGTGGTTCCTACAAAACTAACAGCTCAAACGAAATTAATTCTTTCTCGTAAGAAATTGCAGATATCGGAGAACAGAGAGAGAGAAAGGGAGAGAATTACCTTAAGCTACACCGAAATAGCCCAACAGTGCGAAGAAGTGACGGCGTTGAAGTGAGATCGATAATTAGGGTTTGGATTTGGCTCTTGTTTTATATACTGGACTAGATGAAATGCACGTTTGATGAAATGCACGTTTATTGGGTAACGAGTGTTTCATCTTACACCTTCTCCAAATTCAAAAATTCCATTTTTAACCTTTTAATATATACCTCCAACCTTTTTAAAAGTTTTATTTTTAATTTTAATAAATATATTTTTATTTTCATCTCTTTTCTATTAGAGATATTTTAATAAATATCATTTTATTTTATTCTCTTTCTTACTAAAGACATTCTACACCACCTTAATAATAATATAATTTAATTTAAAATTTAAATATTATTTAATATAATTTTATATTTTAATAATTATTAAAATATGATTTATATTATAATAATAGTAATATTAAAAATATAAAAATAAAAATAGTATAAAATTTGATTTAATATTATAAGGGCCTGAAAAATATATGGCTTTTGAGCCTTATGTTGGGGTAAACAGACCCATAAAACTAAGAACACCATGACCTTAGAAGGGGTTTTTCCCAATCTGAGTTCATTAGCCAACTTCTCCTTCTCTCTCTAAACTCTGTCTTCTTCTTCTTGCTCTGCCTTCTCTCTATCCATTCATAAATTTCAACAGTTGCATTGTCAAATAGGTGGTATCCTTTCGTTCACGGAGTTGAGAGCTTTCCATCCATCCGATTAGTTTTCGTTCTGGATGGGTAAGTCAGTTTCTCCATCTCTCTCCTAGGGCATGCAACTTTACTGGTTGCATGCAGCTGGTAGTCTTCCTCTTTTAATTCTCTGCCTACTATAGCTCTAAGAGTTGTTTCTGTCTCCATTGTTAGTGGATTGTAGGGTGTTATTGTGTGCTGGCTGTGTAAGGCACTGTTGGGGTTTTGCTACTATTCTGAGTAGTACTGTGCTTGTAACCACCAAGGTAAAGGGAGCTAGTTGTTTGTTTTAAATCTGTTTTATAAAGGTGTATGCATGTTGAATGTTGAACTGGTATGCTGTTTAGAGTGGTATGTTTCGTTTTTGAGTATGTTGCATTATATGTGTTGATATATGAAAACTATGAACTGTGCTGTGATGTTATGAATTGAGTGGATGAGTTTAATTTACTGTGATTGATCAGGTTGGGAGTGATTCGGGGTGTGAAGTCTGTTACAACATTGTTTAGAAAGAAAGCATAGTGAATTGGTAGTGGTTTAAGTTATTTTGGAGGAAGTGGGATAGGGAATTTAAGGGTTATGGGTCTAGGGTTCTTGTAGTCTGTTGGGACAATATAGGGAGGTTAATTGTGACTTGTTAGGGTCATCAAACTGGTCAAAACAGGTGAAAAGGGGTTGAATTGAAATTGGGTCCTTAAATTGTAGGAATTGATGTTTTAAAATATACAACTTGATCTTAATCACTTTAGATTAGTAATGGGAAGGGTTAAGATCATCTAGGCAGGTGTAATTGAGCTTAATACACAAATTGGAGGTCTTAGAAGTTGGCCAAGAGGCCTATAAATGGTAAGGGCTGGTGTGAGTGTGTGATTCTGCAGAATTTGTGTTTAATTTGAAAGGCGAGTGGGGCGCATGGCGAGAGTTTTAGGGGGTTGGTTTATGTTTGGGTTCTCGCATAGCGACCTGGGTGCGTTATGCGAGGGACCCAAAGTCTGACACTTATTCAGACTTAATTCGCAAGGCGAGCTGGGTAGGTGCGCTACGCGAATAGCGCCAGTTTCGCCTCGCGAGGGTGGTGTGCTATGCGAAACGTTCAGGGTTTTACTCTCTACTTTCCCTTTTATATTGTTTCACTTAGATTTGAATGTTGTATGGTGTGTGAAGTATGTGTTGGAGCAAATTATATTGTATGATGGGATTCAAACATGTTGTATATTGTTAAAGTGGAAATGTGTGTGATTCAATGGTATGATTGGTGATTCAAAGTATGTGGTTTTAAAAGTATGGTTGATGGACGTAATTCCATGATCTTCAAGGAGAAGATCCATGGTGGTGCCCTTAGTTGTTTAGAATGAAAGTAGGAGCTCAGTCTTAGGAGTCATACTGAAACTCCAATGGTCTTTCTTCTCACGTAGAGAGGATTGAACCATGTGGTGAGGAGTAGCAGGAGGTCTTAGTCTTGGGGCCTTCCAGTATGCCTCAAGGCCCGGAACAGGCTAACCTCGTGAGTGTGGTAGGGTGGGGGAACCACTAGTAAAAAATGACGTTTTTAACTCGTACAATATGACTCGGTTTTTACTGAACAGAAGCATATCAAAACGCGGTGGCAGTCTCGTAATTTTAAAAACATTATATGCCTCGGTTGTTAAGCAACCGGTGTCTAAAAATAATACTGGTTCGGTTATCAGAGTGAACCGAGGCATAACCCTCACGTAGCAAAGGTACGGCCTCGGTTGGCATGGACCCGAGGCATATTGGGCTTTAAATCGGCCTCGGTTGGCATGGACCCGAGGCATATTGAGCTTTAAATCGAGAAAAGCCTGATCATTTCCCCAAAGCACCTCTCCTCTTCTCTGCCTCTTCTCCGCCTCGCGATATTCTCCTCCTGCGATGTGCGATGTGCGACGACGGTGGACGCGACGACAACAAGGACGTAACAGCGAGGACGCAGCGGCGGCAAGGACGCAGCGGCGGCAAGGACGCAGCGGCAACGAGGACGCGACGACGAGAACGCAATGGCGACGAGGACGCAGCGGTGACGGAGGGCAGATCTGGGCGGATGGAAGGGCGGAGGGCAGATCTGGGCACATGGAGGGGCAGAGAGCAGATCTGCGCGCATGAAGGGGCGGAGGGCAGATCTGTGACGAGCGGAGAACCACCCGAGGATGGAGGATTCGTGGAAGGAAGGGGAGCAGAGGAAGTCAGTGACGGTGGCGAGGAGGGTGGGGATGGCGAAGGATATGCTGGCAAGCTTCGTGGGGACGACAGAGGAGGAGCAGAGGAAGTCAGTGACGGTGGCGAGGAGGGTGGGGATGGCGAAGGATATGCTGGCAAGCTTCGTGGGGACGACAGAGGAGGAGCAGAGGAAGTCAGTGACGGTGGCGAGGAGGGTGGGGACGACGGAGGGGGAGCAGAGGAAGTCAATGATGGTGGATGCTGCAACCTTCGTGGGGGAGATGGTGGTGGTCGGAGATGCTTCTGTTGGGGGAAGAACAAAGAAACCCATGTGCGAAGAGGAAGAAATTTGATCTAAAACGCTTCAGCTTAAGTCCATCTTCATCTCTGCTTCTGAGTTTCTGCATCTGAGTTTCTTCTCATTAGTTGTTGTAATTTGTGGGTTGTAATTTGGACATTGGTTGTTTATATGTATGAGTTCATGATGTTTGCTGCTTCTGTAGACAGATTTTTTACATTGATTGTTGTAATACTGTGTCTTGTTTGATTCCTGTTATGGTTTTCTTGGTTGTGTTAGATTCTTGAGCTGAAATTGGGAAATTTTGAGTTTGTTTGGCATGAATGAATCGAGTAAAGTCTGAAAAAAAAAAAAACACACACACACACATGCTATTGCCTCGGTTATCTAAGAACCGAGGCATATTTCTGTTTCGTTTTATCTCGGTCTATAATCGAGGCATAAAGCTTAACCTTTTTACCTCGCCCACGTATGCCTCGGTTGTAGAACCGAGGCCTATAAACATATACAACTGGTGTCTTTACTCTTTATTGTACTAGTGAACCCAAGTTTCATAAGCCACCACGAGAGCAAGACCCGCCATAGCTCGACTATCATTCTAAAGTACAGACAAGTCAAGTCTAGTATTCAACATGTTAGGATGCGTGTTTACCTTGCTTGATTGAAGTTAACTCTTGCATGCATATTGTCATATTGTATGCTTTTTATATAATTAGCTCACCCTTGCTTGTTTGTGTTGTTTGTGTATGATTACTATTGAGAAGATCATCCACTTGGATAAGAACAGATGGTAAGGAAGTTTCTTTGGAGACAACTTTGGAAGAAGACGACAATGCTGCAATTTAGGCTTCCTAGGGGTTTCTTAGTCATTTGATGTTATTTTGAAATACTTTCCTCTATAAGTTTACAATTTAGACCTCTTTTGTTAAAGTTTAAATTCTAAAGCTATTTTAAGGATGACTGTAATCCTAATACTCGACTATATGTTTCCAACTACTTTCTATTATTATAATATGGTGACGTCTTTATAATATACACGTCGTATATTTTGGGATGTCACAAATATATTAAATTATATTAAAATAAATTAAATAATTATTAAATTTTAAATAAATAAAAATTTAAAAATTTGTTTATCAATATCAAAATCAGTTTTACTTTTATTTAAAATTTAATCAATATTTAATTTAATTGAAAATTATAATATTATTTTCTAAATTTAAATTTTAATAATTATTTAATATAATTTAATATTTTAATATAATTTAATATATTTAAATATATTAAATATGATTTTTAATATTATTTTTATTTTTATTAGTTTTACTCTTATTTTAGTTATTATTATTTTTATTTTTTAATAAAACTATTATAAAAATATAAATCATATTTTAATAATTATTAAAATATAAAAATATAATAAATAATGCTATAATTTTTAATTAAATTAAATATTGATTAAATTTTAAATAAAAAACAAAACTAATTTTTCATAAACAAGTCTTTTAAAATTTTTTTTTATTTAAAATTTAATAATCGTTCAATTTATTTTAATATAATTTAATATATTTGAATATATTAAGTCAAATTTTATATTATTATTATTATTATATTTTTTATTTTTATTTTAATTATTTTAATTTTATTTTTTAATATAGCTATTATTATAATATAAATCATATTTTAATAATTATTAAAATATAAAATTATATTAAATAATATTTAAATTTTAAATTAAATTAGAAATATTATTAAGGTGATGTAGAGTGTCTTTAATAAGAAAAAAAATAAAAATATATTTATTAAAATATCTTTAATAAGAAAGAGAAGAAAGTTAAAAATGAAATTTTAAAAAATGTTGGAAGTGCATATATTAGAAGGGTAAAAGTAGAATTTTTGGAAGTACAAGATGAGATGTCGGAGGTGTACGATGAAAGACTCTTGGGTAATAAGTTATAGGCCATGCCATGGTATTTTTTTTTTTTTTGTAATGTTAGATATTTTGTTTACATAATTAAAATTTATAAATCTACTACGTCTATTACAATACTAAGATATGAAAATTCCAAAATTATCCTTATTTTCGAGACAATTGTCCAATTTTTGAGTTTTTTATTTTATTTTTTTATTTATAAAACTGAAAAACAAATATTTTTAAGATGACAAAAATATTTATTTTTGCAAATATTTGAGCTTTGTGATAAATAATTAGTATTTGCGAACATTTATTTGCGAACATTTTTAAATTGTTTAATAAATAATTCATCTTATAAGTTTTAAGGGGTTATTTCACGTACCAATGACTTTTTAAATTTTATTTAAATTTTTTAAATTTTAAAAAATTGTATAATCAGATTCTCGGTTCATATATTTAATTCTTTAATTTAATTTAGTTTCAATTATTTTAAAAGAATAATTTCATCTCTTTTTAATTTTAGATTAAATTTAATTTTTATATAAATATTAGAAATATATTTTTATTAAAATTAATATTTTATTAAATATTTTTAATAAGATTAATTTATTTAAATTTATCTTTTATATTAAATTTTATTCAAATTTTATTTTAAATTATTATAAAATTATTCTGAAATTTTAAATTTGAATTTATAAAGGTTTTATTTAAAATTTTAAAACAAAATTAAAATAAAGTTGAATATAAATATAAATTTAAATAAACTTAATATGGTTAAAAATATTTGATAAAATTATTAATTTTAATAAAAATATTTTGATATAAAAGTTAAATTTAATCTCAATTTAAAAGAGATAAAATTATTTAATTTAAAAAATAAAAATGGATCGAATTAAAATAATAAATATAAAAATTAAATAAATATTCTAATCATAACTACTTGAAATGTGACACAGATAAAATGTGACAATTCTTCTGTAAAAAATAAAAAAATAATAAAAAATCAAACGTGACACATATTTAATACTAATGATGTAATTATTATATATTTTCAAAAATAAAAATTCAAATAAAACTAATTAAAATATAGAGATCTAGATGAGAATTTAAAAAAAAACAAAACAGAATAGATTAACCTAAAATTCTTACGTTTAATTGCTTATTCATGTCAACTTTATATTCTCTTCATGCATCTTAACATATTACAAAAGAATGTTAAAAATATTATTAATGAGTAAATAATCAAATGAGACCGTTTTGTATGTTATATAGAATATATATATATATATATATATATATATAT